ACTCACTCACTCACCTCACTCACTCACTCACTCACTCACTCACTCACCTCACCTCACCTCACCTCACCTCACCTCACCTCACCTCACCTCACCTCACCTCACTTCACTCACTTCACTCACTTCACTCACTTCACTCACTTCACTCACTTCACTCACTTCACTCACTTCACTCACTTCTCACTTCACTCACTTCACTCACTCCACTCACTCCACTCACTCCACTCACTCCACTCACTCCACTCACTCCACTCACTCCACTCACTCCACTCACTCCACTCACTCACTCCACTCACTCACTCCACTCACTCCACTCCACTCCACTCACTCCACTCACTCACTCCACTCACTCACTCCACTTTACATCCTGCTAGCACTGCCCGCCGTGGTCGGGATAAGACCACTTGATAGCTTTGATGGTCGTTTCGAGTGTGTTACGTTTTGAAGGTCTCATGCGGATCTGATCGCAAAATCCAGAGCCTCCAAACTTCTCTCTCCGCCTCCTTCTATCTCTCTCTCTCTCTCTCGTCCCTCTCATCCTTGTTCATCACATCATCAGACACTTTATCACACACCCACACACACACACGCACGCCATCTTACCACACACACACACACACCTCCTCCCTCCCCTCCTTCTCATCCTCGTCCATCACATCATCACTTATACTGCACGTCTGAGCATAACCGCCTCATATGCCTTCTCTCCTCACACTTCCTTCTTGACTTTTCATCTCACTACTCCCTCTCCCAAGTGATGTTCATATACATTTGAAATTTGTAAAACTTATCATGTGGGGTTATCCGGTCCTTTTATTTGGCCAAGCAGTGGGGAAGTGGGGGGAGGACTACTGTTACTGATACATCAATAATATTCAATAATCAATAACATTCAATCACTGTTTTGAAAGAACAAAACATCCGTTCTCGCGCTGAAGAATGCCGTGGTTCCCGAGACTCGTCCGTTGCCGTTGCAGGCCATGAAGAATGCCATCCATGCGCACACGGTGAACCACAAATACCAGGCCAACGACATTGTGATGGTGGACAATCATCGTGTTGGCCATGGCCGGGAGATCTACCTTGGTCCAAAAGAGCCTTGGACATGAAGCAGTGAAGGAAAGGTCCATGTTTGGGTTTTCATGCTAGAACTCGATGTCTTCAGAGAGGATCGACAACTTTACTACCTGAAGCGGATGGTAGATATATGGGGATTGGTCAAAACCTGGAGCTGGAAGGTCCACCATGTAGGGATAGACCGGTAGACTGGTACTGCGTGCCAAAAAAATGTATCCTGGTGCCATGACCCACAGCCATATGGGATAGAGATGCTTTTGATGGTTTGATGGTTTTATACTTTGACCTGTTTTGGTGTTCAAGGTCCAGCCAAAATGCTCTTTCCACAACCCTCTTTTTGGGGAGGCAAGATTGCTATGAACATCCTTTCAGAGGAAACGCAAAATGGAACCAACAAGAAGTAGATCATGTTCTGTGTGCTGTTGGAAAGTCTGTACATGTGGTCTAGACGGCGGGGTAGGCAATTAGGACTACAAGCACCTGCGAGGAGATTCTAGAGATGTAAATTTCTTCGGGCTGGCTAGGTTTCACATGTTGGGTGGCTGGACTACGCCAGAGTGGCTGTGGGACTGGACGTTAGAACCATACAGCGACATACAGCATCAGGAACATGCAGGTTTCACCAGGACACCTCAACACCTGTGAGCTCCCGAGACCGTCGTTTGCGCCGCGCGCGGGTGGGCGTTTGCGGCGCTCATTGGATGCTAGTTGGCTGGATAGAGTGACGCCCACGGACCATATCTGTATAGTTTGGAGATATGCACAGGCTGACAGGTACTGACAGGTATATATAAGGGTTCTCCAAGGTGTGGGAAGGATTTCTGCAGCCACCGGCACCAGCCTGTGACGGGTTCCCGTGGGACATGCAATGCAATTTACCGAGCCAGTCGGTGAATCTCACCTGACCAGTTTAGACAAGAGAGATGTATGACGCAATCTACCCAGGACTCAGGTCTTCCTTTTTGCTTCTCTAATCCCACTAGTTCCATGGCCAGTGACGGAGGAGATGTTCAATGAAGCGAATCATTCGACACTCTCCATGGGACTGGAATATTATACATATAATATATATATATGTATATAATTATACAATATACTGTATATACCAGCACATACCAGCACCACGGAAAGGGTGGTTTATGGACACCCCTGACATCCCCTGACTATGTATGTTCCATCCAATAACCACACCGAAAACCGTGGTGCTGGTACATATAGATTGGACCGAACCCTTTTCAACCACACCTGGCCTGATCGGTAAGGATGCCAGTCCCATGGAGTGTTTTGCATAGATGTCCTTTTACTATTAGGTTGTTTGACGAATGCGGGTTACTGTACCCCAAGTGAAGGTTCCACCCAATAGGTATTAGGTATATACCAAACTCACCCCTTCTATTTTTGCCAAACATCCTTGGTGTTTCGGGTGATACTTTTGATCCATTCCTTCTTCCGCCTCCAAAAACCCTCGCGGACCGGCCGAAGCAGCGGTTTCAGCTCCGCTCGTCCTGGGATCTCGCAGTCGGAGGAGTCCCGGGTGATCTACACTGCTTGGTCCAATCACTATCCTCCATCCTGGCAGAACACTTGCGCGGCTGGTGCAGCCTGCCACGGGTGACGGAAAAAAAAGGAAGTTGGGACCAGCACAGAGCTAGGTGGTTTTAAGGTCAGCTGTGATCAGGGTGGCCCCGACAGAGAGAGAAGAAAGATGAATGAGGAGCCAGAAATTCTGGCTGTGTACAAAGAGCTGAGTGACAAGCATGTGTTTGCTTTTGCATTCCTTTGCGAGGTATCTTCATACACAAACGTTTTTGCATCGGTGCTTCGCTCTCCTACTGTATTTAGGGGGCATCCTGGTGATAGGTGATGGATCTTCAGTGAGGACTGAGATCAGTCTTAGGGGGGCAGGGACAAACGTTGGACTGTTTGACGCTTTGTGCATCATTAGTTCACCAAATGTTGGTCCCTGCCTCAAATGAACGGCTGAAAAAAAGTGTGGTACAGCCAAGACCAAAATGCATAGGATCACACAGGTCGGTTTGGTGTTATATCTCAGAGAATTGGTGGGTGTTTTGGCTGGGCCTGAGAATTTTTTAGCCATAACCACATGTGTATATAGCAGGGGGATGAGACCCCGTCCAGAGACTTTTGCTGAGCTTGTCTCGGTGTTTACCGAGAGTGCCATGAAAAAAAAGTGCGGTGACGAGCAAGCAACCGCAGGGTAGAAACAGTGTTTTATACAATTGGAGAGTCTTTTCCACATCTCTCATGGACCTGTTTTTGGCTGCACCTTCATGCGGAGGGGGGTCGTGCAGGGTTGGGGTCTCAAATCCCTAGGTTTTGAGGCACTAGGGGCTGTTTGGGTACCTTGTTGCCAAGGAGTTAGGGGGTTCTCATGGTTGCCATGGTGTAGAAGTTTGCCGGTAAGTTGCTAGGTATGTTGCTACGAATCCTCGATCTTAACTGCAAACAAGCACTGCAAAGAAGTGACACATAGATATATACAACATTATGCAACATGTTTTCTAAGGATATATCGATTGCAAAACTACAGGTCAACCTTTTGTCAAAGATCCTTGAAGGCTAGGGTATCATGTACAACGCCTTTTCACTTATCCCAACAAACGATTGAAGCAAAAAAGACGACATCGATGACAGGTTTGTTCACTGCGGGAACCACCTTGAAGGAGCGTTCATGATAATACGACATTATTGAAACGGTGGATTTTTCAGGAGGTTGTTTGGTAAGGATTTGGATTGGGGACAAGTGTTGCTCCTTTGTTCCTATAATCCTTTCAATACCAACTCGTCAGGAGGTGTCATGTCCTCCTTGACCTTTGAAATCCTTCAAGTGTCTAAGGAGGGTTTATAACAAAAGAAACACATATGTATAGGAACGATCCTAAGGGCGGAATAAACGGATGTATTTGTTAAAAGTAGTTTATGTCTTGAATGTTCAACAAAAGCGGGACGTGCAGAAGACCGCACCCGTCGTCCCGTGCGCCGGCATGCGGTAGGCCCAGTGAGCTTCAAAGACTGGAAAAACTGCAGGCTCAGTGAGTCCAAGTCAGGGTCAGTGCTGGGATGCAGAATACATGCCAAATATGGCTGTGGGTCAAAACCGGAGAACCCTGGTTGACCACTACCCTGGTGACCGGAAGCTCCGGGTGACGAAAACAGCCGACCTTTATATCACCATCTCAAACGCCGGTGGAACGAGCTATTCACCGAACACCGACGAAATTGGTCGGTGGATGACCGACGAAAGGAGACGCCGAGACCTGCATTTCTCGACGGCAGATCGGCCGATGTCGACCCAGAGGTTCAAGCGTCTCCACTCGGGGTGGTGGTTTCAGATATGTTCAACCTGAACTCACTGACAAAAAGGTTTGAACTGAAGTCACCAACCAGTACTAAATAGATGTAATATATATATATATATATATATATGGTACCCCCCCCCAAAGATCTACCTTTTTCATACGTTTGTAATACCTTTTAAAGCAAGGATGTTCTGACCTACCTTTTTTTCCTGAATTTTAAGGCATTGGTGTTCAATGTGCAGGGGGAAGCATATACATATAGCATAGTTTGGAGACAAACACGTTAAAGAAATAGAACAACTAGTTTTCATTGTTTAAAAAGTAAAAACTAGCTTTTGTGGACCTGGGTTCAAGATTCAAGATGCCTAGCAACAGTTTGTCTAGCAATCTTGAATCGTGAGTCCATATTGGTTGCTCTATCTTTTGTTTGTTTGTTTTCTTCTCATAGACTGCCAAAACCAAACCCAAAACCCAAAACCAAAAAAACAAAACTCTGAGGAGAATCTTTGGTTTCAGCCTGGAAGATGCTTGTTGTTTTCATTGAGTGTGTTTAGTGTTTTTTGGTTTCATTAATCAAAAAGACAAAAACACAAGGTTTTTTTTGGTGTTTGCTTTGGTCTTTGCATTGAGCAATGCTCCCCCCATAAAAAGAACAAGTTGTTTTTTGATTTTAGCCTACAGTATGCGTTATTGAACAAAAACCAAACATGCCATGGGTTTTTGTTGTTTATTCGTAATTCAAGGCTGCATAGACCAAAGCAACAAAAAAAAACAGGTGTTTTTTTTTGATAAATGAAAAAAAACACTCAATTGAAAACACATCTTCCAGGCTGAAACCAAAGATTCTCCTCAGAGTTTTGGGTTGTGGTTTTGGGTTTGGTTTTAAGGCAGTCTATGAGAAGAAAACACACAGACAAACAGTAGAGCGACAAATATAGACTCACGATTCAAGATTGCTGCAAAAACTTTTTCTAGGCATCTTGAGTCTCGAATCCAAGCAGGTCCAAAAAAAATGTTGAGGCGTCCTTTTCCAGCAATCCATAGTTAACAACACCTATCAACTTCTTTTTGAATTTGTTTTCTTCTTGATTATCAGATATGTTTGTGTTCACCAACTGATTCTGAATACCTTTGCAATTAATATTGTTAGTTTTATTGGGTTCTTTGCATGCGAGTATCTTGGATCTTCTCTTAAAATTGTCTCATATTGCCTGGTAGATCACATTATATCGTTGTTGAATAACATTATACCACTTGCCGGAAAGTAATTCTTTGCATACAAGAAAGTAAACTTAGTCAACGTATCATAATCGACCACATTTTTGTATAACTTCTATGTATCAAACTGATAAAGTTTCATTGTTTTATAATGTGTGTAAATGCTCTGGTAATATTAACTTAAGTGATTGCCTCAGGGACCTTTTCAAATGGATGTATCATAACTTATCATTCCACACTTGATTAAACGAATTCAGATCAGCGTCTTAATTGAATCTCCTTGTTGAAGCTATACATTGCTAGGTTCATATATTATAAGTGTTTTCATCCTCAACTGTAATGCAACCCTCAACTGAAGTTCTGTAGAACTGGCTTTTGTGTTTGGATTGTAGATTTGACTTTGTTCAACTTTTGGTTCAGTTCAGTTACAACTTATGTTTGGTATAATCACTTATGTTCGGTTTTGACATGTTAAACTCGATATATATATATATATAATACCTGTGCCATTTCCTTAATGGATACCCCCTTTCAGTCAACTCATCTATTCCCAGAATCTCACATGTTTTTCCTATCAAAAAGCTTTTTTTCTACTTGTCCCACTCATAAGAGCAGTGTCATAAGCGCAGTGTCATTAAAAAAGAAAAAAAGTATGCAATAACAACAAAAACCATATTTAATGCATTCCTCGAGCATACATTATCTATATATGTAATTACCTTTTTCAATGTCTATTGAATTGTGTCAGCATTTTGTTGGTGTGTTTGTATAATAGTGCCAAATATCTACATTAGCTGCATCTGTCAAATTGTCATTCAATACATTCATTCCTTTACCGTTCTTCTTTATTTTCTCTACAGACTCTGATTTTGATACATTGTCCAGTCCTTCAACTAAATCAAACGTTCTGTATCATCCCTAAGCAATTGAGGGTCTTGTCAAATAAAGCTTTGGTATGTCTTTTGCATTTTCCCTTTTAGACAGTTCTCTTGCGTATAGGATCCTTAGGAAAATCTGTCACATTTATATTTTGAAGGCTGACAGTGATGTAATAAACTCCTTGATGTGTAAGTGTAAGGGTTGGTTTTTGTGTGATACCAAGCTCTTTGAAGTGCTTGTAGATCTATCTATAATATTGACATAGACATGCATGTGGGAGGCAAAAATTGTAGATCTTTGGGGGGGGAGCATATATATATATATAACCATGTACATGTTGCTGTTTTTTGTTTCTTCAAGATGAGACCTGCCATCTTCAGGTCTTCCTCATTAACAGAGGACATCCAAAACCCGCAGTGATCACCCGTGGACTTAGGAACAATGTGAAGAACGCTTGCCGTATTTAGCCCTTTTCTTTTTCTGAGGGAAAAGGCCTAACAAATCATCCCTTTTTGCTCTTGCGCTAGCCAACGACCAGTGTTTGTGACTGCCGTCCCGTTGCCTGTAACAGTCGGCAAACAATATTTTGGAGATGTTGGCCTTTACTAGACTACATAACCATCCGCTGGGCCCAGAGAATAGAATATACAGAAAGGCCATTACTGACATTTACGACCCATGCACTGTTACAGGGAATAGGATAGACCAAAATTATACCCGATCATCCCCTAAAAATGCACGTCTTCTTCGAACGGAGGAGCGCGGCATTCCTTTGACGGAACACTCCCTGAAGGACACGCGCAACTGGGTACGTGGTAGGTATGCTGGGCCGTGGTGGGGGGATCAGGTGGTGAGTAACATCTAGGCACCAGGTGGGGTGATGTTGTAATGAGATTAAGTCAGTCTTTCTCCCACGAAAAACATGCAAATAAATTCAATGTCAATATGTTGGCACACTCAAGATGGGGGTCAGGTGATGCTCCAGAGGCTCAAATTTCACAGCGCAAGAAGGTTGTCAAGTCTTGGGATGGAGCTGGAATCCTCTCAAGGACAGATAGAGGGTAATGGCGAGGTTGAAAATTTGAGGATCGTCAATGTTGAAATTGGAGTCAGAGTGCCCAAAACAAGCAAAAGCAGCCTCGGAATGGCAAGAACCAAGCAGATACCAAGGCAGACCATGTAAACCAGGTTGCCTGGAATCAAGAATCCTTCAGCGGCACAGCGCATCAACGAATGCACCCTGCCTGGCACAAGTGCTTCAAGAGCTTCCGAGTCTTGCAAA